AGTAAACCAAAACCACAAACAAACAAACAAGCAAGCAAACAAAAATTAAGCAAAGAAAAAACCATTAATGGGGAAAAACATCAGATTTTACCAAGTAAATCCAGTGCCATCAATTGAAATCACATTTCTGGAACACCTGTCACCTGTGTGCCCTCCTGCAGCTTCACACAGCAGCAGGGCTCTTCTCAACCTCATCTACCAACAGACATGAGAAATCACAGCGCTGCCAACTCACAGCAACGGCTCCAGGCTCTCGCCTCTGAAGCAAAATCCTTCCGATCTGCACTTATGCATTTCATACAAAGCCCACCAGCAATCCAAAAAGCTCCGTCCACCACAAAAACAACCCCTGGCTGCTATCGGTACGTGTACAGCTGGCCATGTGTTCTCAAGAGCAAAAACTCAGGGTCTGGAGCATCGCTTCACCGTGGGTATATCCCAGAGATCCTGGCACCACTGCCCGGGGTTCCTCCTGCACCAAAAAGAATTCTGCCACTTCTATACATTCCCTTCCTATTTACCCCCAGCAGCAGCCAGGGCATTAATTCTTGTTCCTCAAATAGTTATACTCTTTTCTTGATGAAAGTATTTTAACAGTCGGACTCTAAACCAGATCTCTAGAAAGCTTGGCAGATGGTGTCTGAAGGGTAATGCCAGGTATCTGGTGTGAATCTGACATCAGCATTCCCTAGAGAAAACTTACCTCCATCTCTTAAAAATGCACTAAAATACCCACAGTCCCAGTTATACTGAGAAGGAACGAGAAAACTAATCATTTGTTCAATCTCACTATTGCCCAGAATGCAATTTCCACATGGACTTGGCATCTAGAAACACCTTATTCTCATTTTTTAAAACTTTATTTTGCACACTTTCAATTTTGTCCTTCATGCATTTTCTCTCCTTCCCATGAACATGTACAGACTCTCAGTAGTTACCCCAAAATCAAACTGCAAGGTGCCAAAAACATACCTCTAAGAAATAAAAGCTTTGTTTATAGTACGTTTATTAGAAAAACAACTATTAAAAGCTGCACGGCTGCCTCTTCAGCAGCAAGGTAGCTGTGACCAAAGTGTACCTATTCGCACTGAACTTCCAAGCCATCACACCAAAGCACTCTGCCAAAACATGGGCTCAGGATCTTCATTCACAAGCCATAAAATATCTGTTAAGGAAAGACAATACCAAGACTGTTGACAGAGGAAGGCACTTACTGCTGTCATTGGAGGTTTTAATGAGTTATGATTTTCCACAAGACATAACACAACTTTGGAAATGACTCACCACCTCTGGGTGTGAGTTTATCTGAAGTTGTGACTCTCTCACGGGTCTGACCAGACATTGCTGTGCCTTAGTCTCATTTAAGGGCTTGACAGATTGTTTGATGTACACATCATTTCTACTACTACTTTTTGACATGAGGTTCGACGTTTTACTGGGATTTTTACAATGAATATCACAGACCCCAGGTACTGGATCACAGTGCTGCACGAGCTGAAGCGCTGCACCGCCAGGCCCCGCTCCGGGACTACCCAGAGCAGTTATCGACAGACAGAGTGACCTATAAAATCTGCACAGAACCTCCGTCGGAGCGAGCTCGGCCCCAGGACGGGCAGCAGAGCGAGTTAGTCAGGCACAGCGTGTTCCCGGCCGCCCGCCCCGGGTCCCCGCACAGAGCCCGAGGGAATCCCTCGCCCGGAGGAACCGCTGTCCCGGGACCGAGCGGCC